GCAGAGTCGGCTCCTTGTGCCTCTTACCACGGTTCTTCATCCACTCATCTGCTGGTGGGCATGCAGGCTGTTTCCAGGATTTAGCTGTTACGGATTGTGCTGCTGTACACGTGGAAATGCATGTGTCACTGTAATGTGATGACTTTAACTCTTCTGAGAACATCCCTAGGTGGATAGCTGGGACACATGGAATTTCTATTTTTAGTGTTTAGAGAAATTGCAATGCTTATCTCCACAGTGGTTGTACATTCCTGGGCCTGGGAATTTAGCTCATGGCATAAGCACCTGCCTGGCAAGTGCAAGGTCATGAGTTCAATCCCCAGCACCTAAATAAGTAAATAAATAAATGGTACATGGTTGTTCACATCAACAATGGAGAAGGGTCTTCCCTCTCCCCCAACACCCTGTACTCTTGAGGTATTTGTTATTATATGATTTCTTGATGACAGCCATTCTTTCTGGAGGAAGATGTTATCTTAGTTGTTTTAATTTGCACTTCTTGAATGGCCAGTTTTGTTGAACATTTCTTCATATATTTCTTCACTATTTGTATTTCTGAGAAGTGTCTGTTCATTTTGGTTGCCTATTTTTTGATTAAGTCTTTTATTCTGAGGCGTCTAATTTCTGAGAAATAGCTGGCAAATATTTTTCCCATTCTGTAGGCTGTCTCTTTATTCTGTTTGTTGTTTTATTTTGCTGTGCAAAAGCTTTTTAACTTGATGTAATCCCATTTGTTGATTCTTGATATTGTTTCTTGTGCCTTTGAGATTCAGAAAATTCTTTCCTAGGTGTTTAAGAGTTTTACCTATTTCATCTTCCAGCACACGTTTCTGTCTTAACATTTAGATCTTTGTTCTGTTTTTGTTTAGGTTTACTGCATGATGAGATATATGGGTCCAGCCTCATCTTTGCATGCGGATGCTCATTTCCCCAGCAGGATTTATTAAGGAGGCGGTCTGTTGTTCAGTGTCTGTGTTTGGCTCCTTTGTCAAAGGTCAAATAGCTGAATGTGTCTGCGTTTTTTACTTCCTCTGTTCTTTCCACTGGACCACAGGTCTGTTTCTGCGAATCAAGCTCAAGCTCTTCTTTTACCTTTTTTTATTACTGTAATCTTGTAGTATAACTTCAGTGTGTGACTGCGATGCTTCCTGCGTTGCTGTTATCTTTTCTGAATTCATACGAGTTTTTGGATTGCTTTTTCGCTGCCCGTGAGGAATGCCGTTGGTATCTTAATTGGGATTGCACTAAATCTGTATGTCTGTTTTGGAAGTGCAATCATGTTGATTTTATTGGTTCTGCCTATCTGGGAGCAGGGGATATGTTTATTTTCTGATGTCTTCTTCAAACTCCTTTTTTAGAATGATGTTGTTTTCATTGTAGAGGTCTTTTACGTCCTTGGTTAGGTTAATTTCTAAATGTTTTAATTTTTTGTGATACTATTGTGAATGGTATTTTGCTGATTTATTTCTCAGTTACTTATTAGTGTATAAGGATGGTATTGACTTTTGTGTATGTATTTTGTGTCCTGCTAAACTTGTGAATTTGGTTATTAATTCTAGAGTCTTTCGGTGGCATATTTTGGGTGTTGTAGAGAGAGAGACTCATATCTGCAAATAATACTTTGTGACTCCTTCCTTTCCTTTTCTTTCTCTTGTCTGATTGCTCTGCCTAATGTTTCAGGTCTGTGTTAAAAAGGAGTGATGCTACTCTGGCGTGGTGGCGCATGCTTGTAATCCCAGCACTCGGGAGGCTGAGGCAGGAGATCGCTGTGAGTTTGTAACCAGCCTGGGCTACAAAATGAGCTCCAGGCCAGTTTGAACTGTAGAGTAAGATCCTGTCTTTTTTAAAAACACTAGGAGTGGGGGGAGGGGGGGGAGATACAGCTTAGCAGCATAAGAGCCTGCCTGGCAAGTGCAAGGTCCTGAGTTTGATTTTCCATAACAAATAAATAAATAAATAAATAAAATAAAAAAGAATGGGACTTATGAACATCCTGGTCTCTCTCTGATTTAAAGAGAAAAAGAGAAAGCTTTTAGGTTTTCCCTGTTAAATATGTTCATGGTGGTAGTTTTGTCATAAATCACTTTTATCAGATTGAGATAAAGTCCCTCTGTACATATTTTGAATAGAGTTTTTGTCATGAATGCATGTTGGATTTTGTCAAAGATTTTTTTATTTCGGCTGTTTTTGAGGCAGGGTCTTGCTATGCAGTTTAGGCTGGCCTTGGGCTCACTTGCAAGGAGTTTTCCTGCCTCAGCCTCCCATGTGCTGGGATTACAGGACTGTGCCACCATGCCCAGCTTCAAAGACTTTTTGAGATGATTGTGTGATTTGTTTTGTCCTGCTTGTTTATGTGATGTATTACATTTACTGATGTGCTTATGTTGAACCCTCTGTGCATTCCTGGCATGAATCCTATTTGGTCATGGCATATGATCTTTTTGATGATTTGTTGCATTCTTTTTGCCAGTATCTTGTTGGGGACTTTTATATCCATGTCCATTACCGAGATTGGCCTATATATATACTCTCTTTTCATGTTGGGTCCTTACCTGGTTTTTCAGTTAGGGTAACGCTAGCTTCCAGGAATGACTTCAGACATTCTCCTTCCCTTTCAGTTTCATCAGAGGGAAGCACTACATCTTCCCTGAGTTCTTAGTAGGATTTAGTGATGAACCCATCTGTCCCTGGGCTTTTCTTTGCTGGTGTGTTTTTTTATTACTGTTTCAGTCTCGTTGCCTATTGTTTGATTACTTCAGCATGTTAAGTCTTGTTCAGTTTTGGTAATTCGTATGTATCTTGTCCATTTCTTGTGCATTCTCCAATTTATTGGCATTCAAGTTTGTGAATTAGTTAGGAATATTATGGATTTTGGCAATGTTCATTGTGATTTTACCTTTTTCATTTCTAATTGCATTGATCTGTGTCTTTTCCAGTCTTTTTTATTTTTTATTTTTTTATTTTTTCGAGGGAGAGTAAGATTGGCTGAGGGTTTTGTCTTTTATTCTTTCGAAGTACCAGCTCTTGGATTCACTGATTCTTTTTTTTTTGTCTTTTTCATTTTTATCGGTACCGGAGATCGAACTCACGACTGCCTGCTTGCAAGGCAGGCGGTTACGCCGCTGAGCTAAATCCCCAGCTCCATTGACTCTGGTTTTAATACACGTTACCAGCTCCACGCGGGTCCTTTCCACATCCACCCAGGGCGAGTTGAGCTGGGTCACAGCCCAGCCTCCTGCAGCACCGTCCGCCCGCACCACGGGCCACGCCAGCCAGAGCGGGGCTGCGGGGCTCCGCAGGAAACCCTCCCACGCGTGAAGTGGAATCCAGCGGCTTTCCCTAGCCTACAGGGCCCGCTGGCTTGGACTGTGCCTGTCTACGGCCTTGTACCCCATTCCTCTTGGGTCATACCTGTTTCTCTTAGTTCCTTGAACTCTTCTGCTTCTGCTGCTGCTTCTGCTGCTTTTTTTTTTTTTTTTTTTTTTTTTCCTGTCTCAACACGTTTGCCTTTATCAAGAAATGTTTTTAAATTGGTACGTATTTGCACGGCTGCTTTCATCTTGGGAAGCTGGCACATGTGCGTAACACACCTTCATTCATATGTCCCCTTCCCTCCCTACGTCCCTGTCCCTCAACCTGGAACTTTTCTTCTAGCTTTGGGGATAAGTCTGGCTCCATTTTAGAATCTTTAACAGGTTGTGATGCCACATCCCTGTAATCCCAGCGGTTTGAGAGGCTGAGACAGGAGGGTTGCCACAGTTGGGGACCAGCCTGGACTACAGAGGGAGATCCTGACTCACAGAAACAAAATAACAGCAAAAAAGGACTCAGACCTTCGCTTGTGTCCCTTCCCTAATCATCCAAGAAGCCTTTCACTGTACTGTCTCCTCTTAGTTTCTTCCCCTTTATAACTACCTGAAACTGCAATATTGCCTGTTTTCTGACGTACTTGGTTTTTGTCAGTCCTCCCCACGAAGATGTAAGCTCAACAACAGCAAGTAAACTTCATTTCTTTGAATTATAAATACACTCTTTCTGCCAGAAATAAAACAGTCCCCAGTTCTGCAAAAAGGGGAGGGGAAGAGGGAAAAAGACCAAGAAGAAAAAACTCAGAAATAAACCGTGTAATGTAAGCAGCTTAGTGTTCAGAATCTGAATATAAATTTGTGCATACTGTGTATGTAGTTGATTTATGAAGCTAGAACTGAAGTAAAAACAATAATTTTTATCATTAAGAGTTTTTTGGTGCCTATTATATGGTTTATAATGTTTACTTATAAAAATTTGGCTATACCAAATCTTGGAAACAACCACAATGTCTGCTACCTGGTGAATGTACAGAGAAGATGTGGTTTTGTTTTGTATGTAAAGAGAATCAAACTCACAGCCTGCGCTTACCACGCTGGCACTACGTCCCAGAGCCTCATCCCCTTTCCGTAGGGGTGTGGGTGTGTGTGTTCTATATTGGAGTAGCACTCTGCCATAAAGAAGGAAGAACTCAGCACATCCGTAGGTAAATGGATGCACCTTGAGACCATACTCTTCAGTGAAATAAATTGGAAATGCGTAAATACCACATTATTTCTCTGGTGTGAGAAACTGAAAAGGTAAATAAGGAACAAAATATATAATAGATATTGTGAAATAGGAAGAAAATGTTCAAATGGGGAGAGGAGTGGGGGGATGGAAGGGAAAAAGAAAGAAAGGAAAAGAAAAAAATGATGAGAAAAGAAGGAAAACATGGAAACAAGCTTTAGGAAATGGGAAGAGGAGGAGAGGGAAATGGGTAAAAAAAGTTACGTCACATACAGGGACAAATTCTCTAGCATGAGTGTGATCACCGTGCACCTCAAAATGTGCCAACAAAGTCTGAGAAAAAATTGGCTATAAAATTGTAACTCTCAAAAAAGTTTATATCCAATATTTGAAATATGAAATGCACTACTTTGGAATGCCCGAAACGTGTCACATTAAACGGCTGTCCTTTCTCTGGTTTCCAGGACATTATTGCTGGCTTCCTGTACACCATTTTGATCCTGGCTGTCTTCTATCCATTTGTGGACCTGATTGACAACTTCAACCAAACTCACAGATACGCCCCGCTGATCATCATCGGGCTGCACCTGGCCCTGGGCATCTTTTCTTTCACGCTGGACACCTGGAGCACGTCGCGAGGAGACACAGCTGAGATTCTGGGGAGCGGGGCTGGCATCGCGTGTGGGTCTCACGTCACGCACAGCATGGGTCTGTTGGTGGATCCTGCTCCGGACATGTTGCCTTTGCCTACACCTGCCATCACGCTGACTGTCCTTGCCAAAGCCACGGTGCGGGTCCTCATCGGGATGGGCGTTGTTCTAATAGTTAGAAATATAATGAAAAAGATCACCATCCCGTTAGCCTGTAAGATCTTTAAAATACCATGTGACGATATTCGAAGAGCAAGACAGCACATGGAAGTGGAGCTTCCTCATCGCTACGTGACCTACGGGATGGTCGGTTTCTGCATCACATTTTTGGTTCCCTACATATTTTTCTTTATTGGCATCTCTTGATGGTGAGATATTGTTTATAATAAGAAAGGAGAGAACCAGTTACTGACATCTAAAAATATACTGTACGTAAAAGGTCTGAGTTAGGCTTTGGCAAGAATTTATCTTAAATAATTGTTTAAGTAAATTCTTAAGAGTCAGTGCAGGTGCACTTTATCATTGCACAGGAAGCTATTTTAGGTGAGCTGATCTCACTGAGAAAATGCAAAGTTTCCATTTAGAATGTCCATGTGTTTGGAGAGTTTTGTGCTTTTATGGACTCAAGATATATATATATATATATATATATATATACATATATATATATTATGGTACGTAATATGCAATCATATCTAATATATGTTATATATAATATAATATACCTAAGTTTTTTAAACAGTGGGGTGCGTATTATAAAATCAAGAATAATATGCAAACAATTGTGCCTGTGTATTTGGGATTCATACAGGTATGTTGTTACTGAATAATGTTTAACCTTGACTTACTATGGGAGCCATTTCCTACCTGAATTGCATAATTCCTAGGCCAGAATTCACAGGCCACAACACGCTGACCGACTGCCTCTTCACACTGCCTCCGTCCTTCCTGTGACCCAGGATGCTGACCATGGGGAGCATTTTTAACGGACCAAACTTTCAGAAAAATTTGGTTTTGGATTCCTTATTTTTTTAAGTTCTGTACACTGTGTTGAATGTACTTTCTTTGCAACTGTTTTGAGCATCAGTTTAATAAATCAGGTACTCAATTTTATTGCTTGCTAATTGTGCCTTTCTGTTGCTGACTTAAGAAATGCCATGTATACTGTGATACAAAAGTAAGACTCCAAGTTGCAGATAACTCGGCAAATATTTTAAGATAGATGTCAAACTAACAGGGATCGAAGTAAACCACCAGTTCGTAACTCTTCAGTCTTTCTTTAGAAAGAAATTGAAATGGGCTGAAATTTCTCACTGATTTATCGGAAGCTAAAAAGATAACTATTTCCAATTTTGTAGGTATTTTTCTGTGTGCTGTAAGTTAAAGGAATAAGATGTATTTTTTGTACACTGTCTTGATCGTTTCTACTGCAGGTAGCTGTTTCCATTGCACGGAGCCGTAGTTGAAGTTTGTAAAAGGACAAGGCACAGGCTTTATATGTAAAAAACTGTTTTTCTAAATTACTTGAAAAGGATCGAATTTCCCACAATTAACTTTTATTACCTACTTATTAGCTATAAAAAATAAACTGTAAAAAAGTCTAAAATTAATAGGTATTAGTAGTTTAGATCCTTTTTCCAGCTTTTTATTATTTTCACAGTGGAAAATTTGAGTATAGTGTATATAGTATTAAACTATTCTTTTTTTCTGTGTGTGCCTTTGTATTTTGAAGTGTGATTGTAATTGCTTTAACATTGTTTATTTTTAGTAAGATTTTCATAAAGAAGAAAATTGCCAGGTGTGGTAGCACACAGTTGTAATCCCAGCACTCAGGAGGCTGAGGCAGGAGGGTCGCCATGAGTCAGCCTGGGCTATTAATTCAAGGCCAGCCTGAATTGCTAAACTGCATAGTGAGACCTTGTCTTGATTTAGAAAAAGAAGCAAAAGCAAATTTACTTTCCATATAAATGAACATCAGGTATGGGATTACTGATTTTAGTGCAATATTTATATGGCTATCCAGAAGTGTCAATTAAGATGTTTCTATTTTGGACAGCATAGCTATTTAAGCTCATATTTTTATAATTCTGGTTGAGAATTTAAGAGCATGGTAATTTTTTTTTTTTTTTACCAAAACTGAATCTAATAATTTAAGTAAAGTAACTGAATTTAGGCTGTTTATCTATTAGTCGGAAAGAAACCAGGGCACCTAGAAACCTATCAGTACACTGGAAAATGTGAGAACAACCTTTCGTTAAAAAAGTGTAGTTAATTGAATTTTTCCAAAATTTGGTGTGTGGTAGCCTATTGATTTTTATGTGTAGTTTAAAAAGTATTTGAAAATGCTGTTTTTGTGTTTTGTTATTTCCTGTCCTGTGATAGTTCTATGCTAAATGGATTTTAAAATAAAAGTCAAATTCAAGATGGAAGGGTTTCGCTTTGTTTTGTGCCGTCTGTGCATTTGTCCCTCAATTATCTGGCACCACTTCCAGGGATCCGGCCTCACAGGCTTCCTCCAAGCCACTGCATTCAAGGCCGTCTGTTGTTGTTGTCTCATCTCTTGGTGTTTTGTTTCTGATGGGGTTGGTTTGTTTGTCTGTCTTTACACAGGGTCTCGCTGGGTAGTCCCAGCAATCTGTGAGAGACCAGAGCATGTGAAGTCACGTGCTGCTCTGTTGAGGACAGGACTGCGCAGCTGTAGTCCGGGGCGGAGTGGCAGTGGGTCTGACCTCAGGAGCCTAGAGTCTGCACATAGCTGCGTGCTGTGTGGCTGCGTGGGAAAGCCCCTGCTCTCAGCCTCTGGAGATAACACCTGCAGAATGCAGGCATCCAAGGAAGGGACTTTATCTTGTTCTCTTTGAAATGCTAACCTTGATCTCGATTTTCTTTCCAGGAAAAGTACATTACCCACCCCAGAACCCTCACGCCTCAGCTTTTCACTAATAAAAATGAAGTCAGCTCACTAGCTGAGAGGCTCCTCTGGGCCCCCCTTATACCAAAGATATATTATCTCTTGTCTGTTCTCTGTCATCCCTTCTCAGGTTCCTGGAGGTCTAGATAAGCACCCACATACACGCTCGCAGTCCTCCTGCCTCAGCCTCCTGACTGCCGGGGTAACAGGCATGCACTATACTACACCTGGCCAGAATACTGTTTTTAGCTACAGAAGATATTGAAGAAAAACAAATTAAGATTCAGCCTAAACTTTTGCTCCATTTATCATCATTGTCAGTGTACTTACTGTGCTTTTAGTGAAAAGTTTCAGAATATTTCTTATGCATAAAATGTTATAGTAAAACCTGTAACTAATAGCATTATAGATCATTTATTGCTGTTGCAGTAGTGTTTAGGAGTTAATCCTAAAACTGGGAACAGGTATTTTTTCAAATAAAATGGGCATTTTATTTTGTAAATTTATGGCTTTTTTTTTTCTTGGTTCCAGGAATCAACTCAGGGCCTTGTGCTCTGGCTATGCCACTGAGCTTTTCCCCACCTTTATTTCATAACTTTAAAATGCTATAACATGTGAATTGTAAATATTCGGTCTGGTGGACACTCTTGAAAGATCTAATAGAAGACAATGCTGCTGTAAGGTTGACATTTTTATCATCTTCTCTACAAGAATGTTTAATCTATTTTTCAAAGTCTGCTGAAAAAATTAATTCAGTGACATGAATAGAATTGAAGGCAAATTCCCTGTCTTCCAGTCAGCCCCTTAAAGGATAGTTTTCACAGAACATGCAATAAAGGTGAGTAAGGAGCATGTTTTTAATGGATAAGCACATAATTTTATGCTGCAGAGATTTCTTTGTGGTTAAAGTAGTTTCATTCTTGTTAACCAAGAATATTTGTGCTAATTTTAAAACTAAAACAGTTTATTCTTGTACCAGTAAGGACCAATTTTCAAAATTTAACTTTACAGTTGAGTTAGATTTTCTGAAGGGAGAGTTTGTTGTTCACTAACTTTTTTTTTTTTTTTAATACAGGGAATTACTCTCCTGGATATTTTGTCAATTTTTGGTCATGTTCTTCCACTTCCTCTTGAGAAGTAATACTTGGATCTTAGTTGGGGTTACATAAAATGTAAGGTTAGAAATTTAGATTCTTGCAAAGTTTTGTACATAATTATTATAATACCCTGTGATACAGAATAGGATTTCTATCCAAATTAGTTTTGACATTTTTTTCCCCTTAACAGGATTCTACTAGGTAGGCTAGGTGTTGGTGGACAGTGTTATATTTGCTTATTTCTCAGTGAAAACGCAGTAGCAGTCTTGATATAAATTAAGCTGGGTGCAGTGCCGTGGGCTCGTAGCCCCAAGCTGAGGCAGGAGTATGGCAGATCCAAGCCCAGCCTGGGCAACTCGATGGTATAGTGAGACCCTGTCTCTAAATAAAAAGAGTTGGAGATACAGGTGAGTACAAATCCCGAGCACCAAACAGACAGAAAGAAAGAAAGCTTTCAAAGCTTTCCAAATAGAAAGTACTTGCCTCTCGCCGGGCATGTGTCATATGCTTGTAACTCCAGCTCTTGAGAGGCTGAGGCTGAGGCTAGAGGATTGATGAGCTCAAGGACAGTCTGGGCTACCTGGAGAGACCCTGTCTTAAAAAAGCCAAAAGAAACAAAAACTTACCTCTTAGAAGTGAATTCCCATATTCAAGGACATGGTGTCAGATTTTTAAATTATTATCTGACTTGATTTATACTTATCATTTCCTGATTATAAGATGAAATTAACATTTACATATGAAAATTTCTGCCTTTCATAAAAAATATTTTTCTTGGACTTCTGGGAGAACATAGCGGATAGATAGCAGCAGCTTCAGAGGCTCTCTGAGAAACCGCACTTGAAATCCAGGAATGGTGCCGGGCAGGAAGTCCTAGGCAAGGGGGGATATTCTTTGCAGACCCAGGAACGAACTAAATTAAGAGAAACCAACTGGAAACGCAATCCCGGTGATAAAGCAGGAACAGATAAGGTCTCAGCATGGAAGCCAGGCCCTGCGCCACTGGAAACTGCGATTTGAATTTCCTGCAGCTGCTGCTGTGTCCTGGTCGGCACGGTGGGGAGAGAGGCATGAAGGCTCTGAGAGTGGGAAGCTGTGAATGGAGTTGAGACGGGACTGGCCGGGAGCCCTGTATTGACCTGCAGTGAGTGAGCGGATCGGGGACCCTTCCATAGAGAAGGAGGCTTCAGCGGAGGACATACTCGGACCAGGCAGACTACCCTGAACGAGATGCTGTAGTGACTTCAGTCACATATCCCCCTCTCAAGCGGGATTGGTGGGGAGTGCCTGGCCTGCGTGACGCCGCTGGCTGAGACCTAGTAGGCTAGCACAACCCAGGTCCCAGCAGCCGGGAGGTGTGCCCTAGCGGTGAAGCCTTTGGTAGGTTGACCTGGAGGGGCAGGCCCAGCAGAGGCTGCCCAGGTCTGTGTCTCCCTGGTGCGCTGTGGTGGGTGGGAACACCTAGCCGGCGCAATTCAAACTGACTGTGGCTGACAGGGAAGGAAGCTGGGCCTCCTATATACGCTTGTATATAAGGAACAAAGAATATGGGAAGAGGGAGCAACAAGAAAGGGTCCTCGGCCCCCAATCCTGAGAAACATTCAATAGCAGACACAGCACCAATAGACATAAAGCGCTATCTCCAGAGCCTCATAGACAAGTTTAGGAATGAAGTTATTAATGACCTGAAGCAAGACATAAGCAGAATAGGTAGAGAAATGCTAAGCACCACCCAAGAAAAAACAGATGGTGGAATGGAAGAACAGAAAAAAAGGGGACAATTGTTTGATGGAGAAAATAGAGAAAACATAGAATATGTAAAGCAGTTTCAAAGAGATTACCAGGAAACTAAAAACTCTATCGAAAACTGGCATAACAGTTTGAAAGAAACTAAGGATTTTCTGAACTGGAGGGCAGATTTGTAATATGGGAGCATGAAATGAAAAACCTCTTAAAAATAACAAAAAAACAAACAGCAACAATACAAAAGCTAGAAGATGATAAGAGGATCTATAACTTAAGAATCAAGAACATAAAAGAAGAAGTGGGGACACAAACAAATGGACTACAAAAGCTATTCACAGAAATAATCCAGGAGAATTTCCCTAATTTAGCAAATGGTAAAGATACTCAGATATATGAGGTATTCAGGACCCCAGCAACCTACAACCCAAACAGAGATACACCCAGACATACAATAATCAAAATTCCAGAAATCCAATATAAGAACAGAATATTAAAAGCCATCAGAGACAAGAAACAGATCACTTTACAAGGGAACACCCATCAGAATTACAGCAGACTTCTCGGCACAAAGCATCAAATCACGAAGAGCGTGTGGGAAAATAATTCAAGCTTTGAAAGATAATAACCTCCAGCCAAGATTGATATATCCTGCGCAACTGTCCCTGGAAATTGATGGAAAAACAAGGTGCTTCCAGGATAAAGAGGAACTAGGGGAATTTGCAACCACCAATTCAACTCTACAGAGAATACTGCAGGATATTCTAAAAAAGGAAAATACCAAGATTCCAGAAATAGTGGCAGGGAGGCCACAATGAATGGAGCAGAAAACAAAATGAAGAAGACAAAGTGACAACAAACGACAGAAAAAGAGCTCAAGAGAAATGAGGCAGAGAAGATCGGATGGTAGGAATAGCTATTTTGGAGAAAAGACATCATAATAGCTAGTGCTGACTTAGTATCATCTTGTTTTGAAGTCCCATCAAACTTGTATTCTTCTGTCTCCATCGGTCTTAAAAGGTTGTATCTTATTGGATTTTATGATATGTGATAATATAAACAAAAACTTTTATAGACAAGGAAATTATACAGAAATCATTGTTCATTTTCTGTTAGCTGGTTCTGAATACCCTGTAATAATATTCTCTTAAATGGTTTTATAGTGTCTTGATATGTTTGGTGCTACAGTGTACGAAGTTATACTCAAAGATTTCAAGGAAAGAGACACTATGGTAACTATTTTTATGTCAGGATATCTTGTGGTGCAACACTATTTTGCTTAAATGGTTATGTTTTGACCTGTGCTATTCTGTTGTTATGCCCTCTTTTATCTCAATCCCCTTTTTTAAAAATTATTTACTTTTTTCTCTTTATCTTTTTAATTAAGGGAAAAATAAAAAATAGCAGGATACATTATAGTAACCTATTTTGATTTCCTATTAACTTGATTTGAAATCCTGTATTGCCCTCACCATCCTGTTTTGACTGATTTTCCCCTATTCTGCTTTGCTTGATAGTACCAAGTTCGAAAGTATAGGCAAAACTGTGAAGACAATAAGATTCATTATGACGCCCATTCTGGTTGACTGTTACCTTCTTTTAAAGTCCTGTAATGTTTCCAATACTTTGGTTTTGTTCTTTACTGTTTAGTTCAATTTTATTATAACTGGAAATTCTT